CAAGTCAGATTTCTTTTGGTGTGAGACGGGACGGCCACAGCTCTCTCTTCTGGGTTCTCACCCATGTCGATGGAGGGACACTTGCCTGCTGCTCTGCTTATGAGACACTGCCGTGTGCATATATGATTTTCAGAATGGCTTTAAATCCCGTTTAAAATGGGGCGGGTGGGTGGAAATGACAGTGTCCATGCCTTCCTTTCTCAACTAATGTATGTTCTGATAAGTCGTGGTTTTAGGCTGCTGGAACCTTGGATTAAATACTCCCTTTTTCTAAGCTCAGATCAGAGAGTGAGCTCCTTCGGGTTATAGCCTTTTCTTCTGTTACATTAAAAGTGATCTTTTTCTTTCCCCTCCTAGCGGGTGTCCTTGAGTGCCAGTCCATAGCTAGCGCGAAGGCAGGGGGGCGAAGCTGGTAGAGCCCTTTGGAGTCCCGCTGCCTTTGTTTGAGCGCATCACCTGTGCTTACCGGCCAGTTTGCTTAGCACACAGCCCCTCATTCTCCCATTTGCCTCATTCGCAACGTGGCCATGATAACAGGACACACCTCAGAGGTGTCCTAGGGATCAAATGAGTTAATGTTTGTAGAGCACTTAGAACAGTATCTGGCACGTACTAAGCACTGAGTGCGTGACGAATGAAGGTTGTCAACAGTGAGAGTTCAGTCATGAGCAGTGGTGATTGTTGCTAAAAATGAAATAAAATGTAGGCACTTTTTTTTTTATAAATTGGAGGTTGAATTTTATTCCCAAAGTAAATCTCGATGTCACCTTGACTTGTATTCCGTATATATTTTTTGAAAAGTTAATAAGATACCTAAAATTGTGTGCCGGGCATTATGCTGAGTGTTTTCTTTGTAAAGAGAGCCTTATTTAGCTCTCCCAGCAGTACTGTGAAGGTAGGCAATATTGTGCCCCCCTGTTACAGAAGAGGAAACTAGCTGACCTAAAGATGGTAGGTAGCTTTCCCAGGTCATGCAGCCAGTAAATGGTGTGCTCAGAGGCGCACCCCAGCATGTTGACTCCAGATCCCCGCCCAGAACCTTCTACTCCTCTTGTATGGAAACAAAGGGGAGTGAGAGTGCTGAAAATGTTAGGGAATACTCTGCCTGTTTTTCTCTTGACCACTCAGTTATGATGGGACACCCTCAGAAGGATCCACCATCTGTGGGAAAGGTCATGAAGGACTAATGTAGGGTCGGTCAGTGATCATTGCTAGTTGACTATGAGAAGGCATGCTTCATGATTGCGATGTTCATGTGCACTTAAATATAATAATACAAACTTGTATACCAACTCCACTGTTTCAAAGGCTGTTATGAGATGAATTGAGTTCTTCCGTGAGAAGTATTCTGTACAGGGTCCCACACACGGCAAGTGCTCAAAAAGTGTTAGCTGCGATTACTGTTACTGTCACTGTGGTTGGGACTTGATCCTCAGAGGGGCGCTTCACGAGTCTCCCGAGTTTTCTGAGTTCTGAGAGGTTAAATGACGTATCTGCAGACACAGGACTGGTTCGTGTGTTTTGCCCCCAGTCCAGCTTCTTCTAGCCTTGATGGCGTCGTTCTGCCAGCCGCACCATCTTCCGTGCCCCCCCACCCCACCCCGTTGCCAGAGAAACCTCCCGGGCCCTGCTTAGCCTCAGATCCACAGGTTGCTTTATCCCCTGGAAGTAAGTTCTGCGGTGGATTCTCCAAGTGACTTCGGAACACCCAGGCCTTCCCGAGGGGATTCAGTCTCAAATGTGATCTGAGGTCCGGATAGTACTCATACATTAATGAATATAAAAACAGGTCTTTCAGAGTCTGTTTACTCTCCTCGAGTGAACAGCATCTTTTTTGTGAAGGTATCTGTTTTCTGGCATGCATATTCAAGTTAAATTCACAGTTTCCCTACTTTGAAAAACAGTTTTCTTGGAAATAAAATGACGAGACAGACTTTGAAACTGAAAAACTGCTGCTTTGCCTCAGGTATTTTTGCTTGAAAACTGATACTTTCATGAATATTTAAGTTTTAAAAACTTGGACAAGATGATTGCTATTTCAGTTGGTGTTCTGGTCCTTACGAAAGTGATGCAGTTTTGGTTTTTAGAGAAAGTGTAACATTTTTCCATCAGTGAAAATTACTCTTTATGACTTCAATTTCTACTTTTGCATTGTTTAAATCTCTTGTAAAACTAATGGCAAAATTCCAAAGATGCTTCCTTTTGCTTTTTTTTTTTTTATTATCACCTCCAGTCTGGTAAAGGCCTCACACATTCATTATTTCAAGAGCAGATGTGTTGCAGGAATTTTCACAAAGCCTGCTGTCTGGTGGTTTTGTAAGGATGGTTTAGTGAGTTAAAATGGCTAAATGCTTCAGGTTATAATGATAAGTGCTTTTAAAAGAGCCTCATCAATAGACCATGTAAATAGTGAATCTGAATTGGGACTTAGTCATGATTTTGTTATGTTATGATTTTGATGCATAATTGTTGACATACAGTTTGGAGGGTCTCTGATTCCTCAGCTACAGAGTTATAATGTCACTAAAGAAAATTTGTGAATAAAAAATTAAGTGAGCTATTGGGAAAATAATCACCAGTACTTATCTGATAGATTACAATGACAGAAAGAATAATGGCTAAAATGTACCAAGGGCTTCCTCTGCTGCAGACACTGGGCTGAGTCTCTGTTACACAATTGAATTTCATCTCCATTTTATGCTACAGGAGAAACCAGGTTTTGCTAAAAGCATCTAGGAAATTGCAGAGCTAGGATCTAGATGTCGAGCTGCCTGACTCCCAGCCCAGGTTCTGATCCATTTTCTGTAGCTTCTACACCAACACATTCTGTCCTATAAGCTAAGCCACCCTACCTCGTATTTTCAACGTCTTACTAGACGCCATGACTCCATGAAGAGGGGAAACCTGCATTAGGTCCATTTTATAGGCAAAGAAACTGATGCTTAGGTGATCAGTAACTATTCCAAGCCTATACACTTAGCACACGAGAGACTTGTCCTTGTCCTTCTGGAGACCTTATGTATGTCATAAATGAAGGATTTTTTTTTTTTTTTTTTTTTTTTTTTTTACTGTGCTCTTTTCATGCTCTTTTGGGACTGTGTGAAACACCTTGAAATTTTATTTTTTTATTTTTTTTATTTTTTTTTAAGATTTTATTTATTTATTTGAGAGAGAGAATGAGAGACAGAGAGCACGAGAGGGAAGAGGGCAGAGGGGGAAGCAGACCCCCCGCTGAGCAGGGAGCTCGATGCGGGACTCGATCCAGGGACTCCAGGATCATGACCTGAGCCGAAGGCAGTCGCTTAACCAACTGAGCCACCCAGGCGCCCCACCTTGAAATTTTATTAGAAAACATTGTCATATGATTTAAACTTGCTATGTTTATCATGTTGGTCCTGTGATGACTCAGAATTCCTTAAATGACTTTTTCCTCTCCCTTCAAACAAAATCTTAGCAGTACCACTGCAGAATACCAGTGTGAAATATCATAAAGCAGGTTATTCCAGCCAAGAATCCGAGGTGAGGCCAGCTTTAAATTGTTGAGGCACATTAAAGTCAAATCAGTGGTGAGAATGCTGACAGCTCCTCCTCAGAAAAGATGTCTCTGTGGCACATTTAAAAATCATATCCCCCAGTGAAGATGATTAAGAACTTGGACATATTCGTATCTGTGGCCACAGAGGAGAAAAAGGGATCATTTTCATCACAGGTCAGTGCTGAGCACCCTGAACTCCTTTGAATAGCTGTCCCTTTCTTAATTCGTCCAAGGATTCTTAATTTATTTTGCTTATTATCAGAAGCGTCTCCCCCCTTGAGGAAACATAAAATTTATTAAGAGAATTGTAACTTAAAATATTCAGAGCACTCCTGGCATCTTTACTTAAATGGATGCAAGAAATTTTACTGCAAGAAAGTATATATTGATCCCTGTAGCTGACTTGTCATGTTTAGTATTTTTCTCTTTGCACAAGAAGAATAGCTTCTGTAATGTGAATTTAAATGATACATCAAGCTAATAAATGTGGTTGGCCTAGCAAGTGATAAGCATAACTAACTCAATTTAAATGTCTTTTATATAAAAAATAATGAACCAGTGCATTAAAGATTAAAAATGTTAATGCAGTTAGCAAAAATTAGCATTCAATAAAGAAGTGTGTTTCAGTTTTGAGATGGATGATACATCATTCAATGACCAGATAAGGACTAAATTCAGGTACACTTTATTCAGCTGGTGTGTATGTTAAAAACCAAATAAATAAAAATTAAATGCTTTATTTGCCCCTTTGCAACAACGTGGGTGGAACTAGAGGGTATTATGCTAAGCGAAATAAGTCAGTCAGAGAAAGACAATTATCATATATAATCTCACTCGTATGTGGAATTTAAGAAACAAAACAGGATCATAGGGGAAGGGAGGAAAAAGTAAAACAAGACAAAACCAGAGAGGGAGACAAACCATAAGAGACTCTTAATCATAGGGAACAAACTGAGGGTTGCTGGAGGGGAGGGGTTACAGGAATGGGGTAACTGGGTGATAGACATTTAGGAGGGCACGTGATGTAATGAGCACTGGGTATTATATAAGACTGATGAATCACTGACCTCTACCTAGACATGAAACCAGTAATACATTATATGTTAAGTAATTGAATTTAAATTAAAAAAAAGTAAATGCTTTATTTGAAGAAACTTTGATAAAACAGTATGTGGCATGTAGACAAAAGGACACGCAGGTCCTTGGGGACTGTGCCAGAAACCAGGGCATGAGGTGACTTAAAACATATTGTCACCTGCCTCCTTGTGGGGGAGGTAGAGGGGATGTAGCAGGTGTGACAGTGAACGTGGGACTGGAGGGGAAATGAATTTTCCTGGCTTCACTGCTAAATAAAGTGAGCATTTTTGGTTTGGGGACGCTGACTTTAAAACAGTGGAGTATACAGTGGTGTCGCTATTTGCCTTAATGTCGCTGTGGCGTCTTGTCACTCTATGCTCATCTGCAGGTGGATGGCAAGCATTCCGATGAGGCAGCCTTGATCCTCCACAGGAAGGGGTTTGACTGCCGCTTCTCGAGCAGAGACACGGGGCTGCTTTGTTCCACAACCCAGGGAAAGGTGAGCTGAAAAGTGGTTTTTGCTTGTTGATTTCATGTGCTTTGAAATGCTTGCTTTCTGCTAATCATTCTGACAATAAGATAACGTTTCATTGCCTCTTCGTGGACTCATTCCCCTCAGCTGCTGTAATTTAGCTCAAGTCTCTCCATCTTAAGAAAGCACTTTCTCAACCTTCGATCTCTTCTCCTTGTCAGCATCAAAATGCACGTCTGGAACATGGGCACGTGTAGGGGCAACATTCTCCTCCATTCCTAGGCCTTCCGTTGCCAGCCGACAAAACATCCTCTCCCCACCCCCCATCCCCCAATATTCCCTCCTCTCTCACACATGCTCATGTAGGATCTAGGTCCATGAAGTCTCAGAGGGGCAAAAGCAGGTTTTATAATAACTAAAGGTGGGGTGGGGTGGGGTAGGGAAGTGGTGACACTGGCCAGTCGGGGAGTTTCACCACGGCCCCGAAGCAACCTTACTTAGCTCCAGTCAGTTGTTGTCGCAGGGGAAATGAGGGTCTAGATCTCCTGATCAAGACAGATTTGCATAGGAGTCCTCACTGTGCCAGCCAAACAGGTCTTCAGGCTGACCTGCCGGCTGCCCAGTTTTTCTGTCTCCTTTGAGCTGGTCTTTCTGATAGTTCCCTCAGGCTCTCCTTGGAAGGAAATGAACCTCCAGCCTTCTGCCTCTGGCTCTGAGCAGGTTGTGCTCAGAGAAGACAGCTGGATGGCACACAGGCAGGTCTGCCCCACGGGGCAGCTCAGCTGACCCAGCTCTTCTCCAAAACCTCACAGATAACCTGTAGATCAGACTTAAGAGATTCATTTCCAACCCTACCAACTAGAATGTGCATAGGGTCTGAAAAGGAGAGAAAAGACAATATGGTAGGGGGTCAAAATCCACTTAGGCAGATAAGCTTCTTCATTTCTCGTACCATGCCCTCCGTGGAATTGGTGCGAAGAAAGCACTGATGGTTTGGGGTTTGTTTTTCATGATATTTACGCTTTACCTTATTACTGATGATGTGAGTGTACTTGGTTGTAAGCATTTGTATATAGACATTAAGGCGTCAAGTTTTAAGGGGATTATATGGTCCAGAGAGACATGGGATGAGGGTAGTACTTTCTCAGCAACCCCCCAACCCTGAAAATGGGACTCACTGACATGAGGAGCCTGTGTCCTTTCTCTCAGCTCTTTGGGAAGAAGAAGAACGACAACTGTTAGGTGTAAATGTTGGGTGTAAGAGGATACGGATGTTTTTAAAGCTTGCTGGCTCATAGATGTGTTTTCTTTTATTGAAAAAGTGGCCCCTGCACGTGATAAGTTCTCAAGAAATTCAGAAGAAGAATGTAGAGTGAGCTGTCCTCTCCTGGTTACACTTCTCCTAGGTGTCCCTCCAGGGTGGTCTGTGTGTCCAGGCACACATAGCTGTATCTAATCTCCTTCCTCTTCCTCTTTTTATTATTAAAAGGAAACTTCAAATACACTGTTTTACTCTCCTACTATTTTCCACTGAATAAATATATAGATGTGCTACTAATCTTTCTTCAAAGTTGACCTAACTGTGCAATTTTTTTTATCATTTATTTTCTAGATTTTGGTACAGAAGCTTTTTAGCATGTTTACTGTCGCAAGTCTCATACCTTCATCATTATCCTTGATGCATTCACCTCCAGACGCCCAAAATATAAGTGAGATCAACTTGAGTCCCATGGAAATCAGCACATTCCGAATCCAGTTGAGATGAACCTGGCTTTCAAATTTGGATTGGGAAGCATTGTCTTTTATACACTTCTTGGTTTGACGTGCAATAAGGAAGCACATTATTTTAGCTTCTGGCTACTGTGAGGACATGGATTCTGTGATTGTTATTATAATTATTATTATAATTATTTTTTTTTTTTACTAGTACAGAAAGAAAAAAAAAAGCCATGCTATAGCCAGTTTTTCTTTAAGTTCCATCCATGAATCACCACCATCAGTATGAATCGATGCAACAATGAAGGAAGAAATGTCTAAAACAACCTCTCCATAGATTGTATCTCAGGTTAAATGCTAACTAACTATATCTGTGTCGGGAGTTGTGAAGAGATTGTTATAAGTATTCATGTTGCTGATCCTTCATTAGTTTTACAAAAATACCCATTTTTACCAAAATGGAATAAAAAGCTGAAGGGTAATAGCTAATGGCCAAAATGGTTGCAATCGTTCATACGCATTCGAAAAATTTTGTGTATTGAAATATGTGGAAAAGTGCAATCCATCAACCCTTATGATATCTGTACATCATTGATCTTCACACCTTTTTCTAATGTACCACTTGACCCCTCCCTTCTCACTCTTTGTATTTCCAGAAATAGCAGATTTTGAATCATTCAATAGTAGAAAAAGAGGCATATTTTCATTACTTGACAATGTGGGATAGGTGCAATTTATTCCATTGTCACTAAGATAGAAAAAGCAATCCCATAGGTACCATAACCTCTTTTAGGTACCACAAGGTGTCTTTTTGCACAGCTCATTTGAATACAGATGTTCGGAGAGGGGTTTTCTATTTTAAAAATAACCATATCAAAATAAATGTGCCTTATTTTTTTATAAGTCTTGTTAAATCTTTTGGTGTCCATATGACTGAGGAAGGGGGGGAGGGCGGGGGTGAGGAGGAGGTGGGTACTTTCTATGACACGTAAAGTGTTATCGGTTTTGCCTGACAATGCTGGCCACATTCTGATCTGTTTCATTAAATTTGTGGTGATGTTATTCTAAACATTTTGACTATTTGAATGTACTGAGATGTCAGAAAACAAAACAAGGAAGAAAAAGTACTGTTCATTAAAATCCGCTGCTGCCAAGAAGATGGCAGCTTGAAGCAAGGATTTTGTGACATGCAAAATCCATACACTGTTTCCGTTTCACAGGAGGTAACTCTATGGAAGAATGCTTTAAAAGGGACCCTGTTTTGAAATCCACTTATAGGTAGCTCATCCTGATTTCTTTTATTAAAGAACATGTGTGTTGAGTGAATTCCAAACTTTTGTACGTGCTAACCTCAAAGTGAAGTTCCAAGCCTATGTGCCATTACAGTACTTTTGATAAAATTTATTTGGGATCATGATTAACATGACATTAACACTGAAGCAACATTAGAAACATTTAGAATATTCAGTTTTAGGATAGAAAGGATTCACTGAGTATGTACACTTTTGAAAATTCTCTTTGTGTTACCTAATAAATTTAGTATTCTCTGACTTTAAACTTCCTTTTACCTCCTGCCATTCCAGCATCTTTATAGAGAAGTTGAAACCTAATTTCTGTTTCACCAGGTAGTCTGATGATCATCCTTTTTTTTTTTTTTTTTTTTTTACCAAGATGCAGCTCCTACAATTATTGCTAAGTTATGTTAAGTTCATAAATTTTTTTCGCCTTTAATAATTAAGGAAACAATACTGGTGTTGATGAAGATATTATAAGGGAGTAATTTCATGCAATAAACATGTACTGTAAGTTTCCTTCCTCATTTTGGGGGATAAACAACTAAAAGAAAAAAAACCAAAACAAAACACTTCCTTTTTGTGGACATCTATAGATGTTAAGATTGCCAGAAGCAAATCCCAGGAATAAGATCAGTATTTTCATTGCATCTTAAATGTAAAACCTTCCTTTGGGAGTTCACTGTGTTCTGTGGTTAAGTGGGTGTGCTTAATCATTGTGGAAATTCTGATCAGTTGAAATAAAAAATCTTGATGCAATAACAGTGGTTTTGCCACTTCTGGTTGTTTGAGATGGATCTGTCCCATGTCAGTCAGGGTCTTAGTGTGTGTTGCCACCGTTCACAGGTAAAGCAGAAATTCTCTTTAAACCAGCAAATTTCTGCTTTTTATTTTTAGAATAAATCATCAGGGAAATGAGGAGAGGATGCTTTTGCTTTGGGTTGTGGTCACGAACTGATTAATTTAGTGTCTCTGGCACACCTAAAAACCATACATTTCAGTTGTGATCTCGGTGGCATATTTGTTTGCTTGGGTTTTATTACATTTGTTACCGCAGATGAGTTCAGTTGAGCGAGTAGGTCATTCCTGTGATTTTTTTTTTTTTTTTTTTTTGGTAATTTGAGCCTTTACCTGCAGTGTTTGAGAACTCGGCATTCTTGTTTTCTTCAAATACTGATTAAAATAAAATGCTATAAAATGTGTTGTGAAACATTTTAATTACCTTCCCATGTCTTTGTTGTACTTGTGTCGAAATGTTTTCACATTCCTTTGGAAGAAAATCTTTGCTTTCATTTTGATTATGTTGCGTATCTTGGAGATAGGTTTTGATATTTTTCTCTTGGAAGATTTTATATCTTTTTGGGAATATGTAATATAAGATCTCTAATAAAAGATAAATCTTACCATGTACGTAGTCCTCCAGAGTGCTGCTTAAGTCTTATTTTGTAAACAACAAGAATTAGTACATTTTGAGTGGTAGGGTGGAAGAGTGAGGGTCTGTTCTTTGTTCCTTCAAGAATGAATCACTCCACCTTCTGCCCAGTGCTAGCTGGGAAATACAGTTTTAGAGAGCAAGTGGCAGGCGGGGGTGGTGATGAGTTCGTCTGGGTTTGTGGCCACCTTTGAGTTTGGGGTGTGGGAACCTTCCGGACAGTGTGGTACCTGTGGGGCCTTCTGAGCCAATTGGAGGAGCAGGGTCTGGTCAGATTCCGTATGTTACAGGACAGTAGTGAGAGGAAGACGACACAGGAAGCCAAGAAGTTTCCTGTGAGCTGATCAGGAGGGCGAGCGGGATCTGGAGGCACCCCGCCGGCCCCACCCAGCGCCCAGGGCGGTGGCTTTCAGAGACGTCCTTCAAAGGCGGGAGGTGGGGCGGCTGAAGGACAAATACGCTGGAGGATCCTGTGGGTTAGCCGGGCAAGTGAGAACGTGCTAACTGGGGAGTTTGGGCTTGTTTTGCGTGACGTAGTACAGAGGCTAGTCAATTTGTAGTATGCATGTGCCAAGCTAAAAACTTGGGAGAGAACTATCCATAAGCATCTCATTAGCATATAAGGAAAATCGTGTTTGGCTCCATCACATTTGATTATCAACACGTCAAAATAATTTGGCTATCAAGACTTGTAAAGAAACACGTAGTTTCGGTAGGTATCTGCTCGCGGACTCCTGCGAACCAGTGAGCGGCAACCAAGGGAGCGCGAGCGTGACTGGCAGGCTGAACGGGCGGCCGGACGTGGGGTGGCCGAGCGTCAGCAAGGCCCCCGCTCAAGCGGAACGAGGAGATCGATTGTTCCCGGTAACGAACGGTCGAGGGTCGAAGGAGCTCCAGAGACCGGCAGAGCCAAGCATGAGATGACGTCGTCCAGGATCTGTCCTCATCTCCTGGGTGCCCCGCTGAGAGAGCGCCTTCAATTATTCAGCCAATGTCCTGGCACTGACGTCGCTTCCTCTGGCTCATATGCTAATGACCGTGGCCCCCCGGCTGAAGCGGAACGAGGAGATCGATTGTTCCCGGTAAGGAACGGTCGAGGGTCGAAGGAGCTCCAGAGACAGGCAGAGCCAAGCACGAGATGACGTCGTCCAGGATCTGTCTTCGTCTCCTGGCTTGGCTTTCCTCTCCGCGGTTCTCATTCCCACGCCAAGGGCTCCACGTTTGAGGGCAAAAGGCTGCCCCAGGCCCGGACTCGCGTCCGGCCGGCTGGGTGCCCCGCTGAGAGCGCCCTTAATTATTCAGCCAATGTCCTGGCACTGACGTCACTTCCTCTGGCTCATATGCTAATGACCGTGGCCCCCGGCTGAAGCGGAACGAGGAGATCGATTGTTCCCGGTAAGGAACGGTCGAGGGTCGAAGGAGCTCCAGAGACAGGCAGAGCCAAGCACGAGATGACGTCGTCCAGGATCTGTCTTCGTCTCCTGGGTGCCCCGCTGAGAGAGCGCCTTCAATTATTCAGCCAATGTCCTGGTACTGACGTCACTGGCTTCCTCTGGCTCATGTGCTAATGACCGTGGCCCCCTGGCTGAAGCGGAACGAGGAGATCGATTGTTGCCGGTAAGGAACGGTCGAGGGTCGAAGGAGCTCCAAAGACAGGCAGAGCCAAGCACGAGATGACGTCGTCCAGGATCTGTCTTCGTCTCCTGGGTGCCCCGCTGAGAGAGCGCCCTTAATTATTCAGCCAATGTCCTGGCACTGACGTCGCTTCCTCTGGCTCATGTGCTAATGACCGTGGTGAGGGCAGCGTTCGGCTCACATGAATCATGTGGAATCGCGTGAGCGAGAAATAGTCCTCCCCCCCCCAACGTGCACACCCATAGAAGGTGGGGTTCTACAACCAGAGAAAAGGGCTGGGGACCTTGAATACGAGGTGGACAAAATACAGTAGAAACACATCGCGGAGAAAAACCAAATACGCAGATCAGAAGGAAGCAGCTCACCCAGTTTCAGTTCCAGGAAGCTCCGTAGAAGACACAGATTTGAGACAGTTCTTAAAAGATGCATTTGATTCGAACAGAGACAACACGTGCGTTCCTTGGAAAAGACAGAATAAGGAAAGATGGTAACAGGAGGCGTAGAGAACTAGAAATAGTTTCCTCTGCCTGGAGCAGCGCCACCCAGTAAAACTTTCTTTAATAAGGGCAAGTTCGTTATCCATGGGATGTCCCATAGAGCAGCCACTAGCCACCTGTGGCTTTGAGCATTTGAGATGTAGTAGTGCAACTAAGGAACTGAATGTCTTATTTTAGCTTAATTAAATTTAGCAACATGTAGCCACTGTTTCAGTACCGGTCTGTACATGGTATGCACAGGACAGTAGTAGGAAATACAACTAAATATGTAAGTTAAGGTCACTTGTGCTAGAATCCTGCTACTGAGTGTGGCTCTCAGACCAGAAGCTGTGACATCACCTGGAAACTGGTTAGACAAGCAGAATCCCAGGCCCCACCTCAGACCTCCCGAGTCACAATCTGCACTTTACAAAGATCCCTAGAGGATTCACATGCACACTAAAGCACTGGCCTAGAACATTCCCAGGGAGTAATTTCTCTCTGCTCTTACCGAACTTTTCCAAGTAGCTCTTGACCGTAACTCCTATACCTCACAGTCTCTAGGAAGCATCCCATAATACCTGTCTACTTGTCCCACTGCCACCCAATTCCAAGTCACCTTCGTGCACCTGGGACTCTGCCTTACAAAAGAGTTGTAAGAGGGCTCCTGCCCCTTATGTCTCTTTTTTTTTCACACAGAAGCCAGAAAATAAAAGAAAGTAAAATTTGAAAAATATCTTCCCTCTTGAAAACTGTGTGTTTCCCGTTACACCTGGAATAACATACAACCTTTCACCATGGCCAGAAGCCGTGCCTGGCTTGGTCCGTGTCCTTCTCCTTCATCTCAACTCTGAGAAGGGGGCGAGGGTGTTTAAGAAATCCTTTCCCGACCCAAATCAGCTTTATCTCCCACCACGCCCCCTTCTGACTGTTGTCTAGGTTCCTTATGGGTCTCTAACATGCCAAGATTATCCCTCTTGGGGGCTTTGTACTTGTTCCTTCTGCTTCAAACTTGCTCTCAAATCCTCCCCTGGCAGGCACCTTATTATTCTGGTTTAATTCAAGCAT